TATATATATATATATATATGGGCATGCATACATACAAAATGATGTAATGATCACAATGTTGATATAAATATTCAAAAATAAAGAATGGAATATATGTAAAAAATAAATAAGTACTTTGTATTGATTATCTAACAATAATGCAGTTTAAAATAAATAAAAGTATATTATAAAGGATACTATTGTGGTAGGTCTTCGAAAATGAATTGCTTGACATCTGGCAGCCGATTGAGTGAGCAACCACTACAGCTCTGAAAAATAAACAATATAAGATAACATATCATAATGAATTAGTCTATACAAAATGCAATTACAATCTCAATATATAAAGTTTCATTCAAGAATACTTGTTGGACAGAACATTTTACAATTATAATAATGTAAAAAGTCGAACGCAATGCGTTTTAATAAATATATCTGCATTATTGATTTAACAGATAACGTTACCTCGACTCTTGCAGACGCGTAATAACCATCCACGGAATTTACGACAGAAATAAAGGAAAGTGCAAGTACGAACGTGAGTACGAAGGGATAACTAACAATTGCAGTGGATGCCATGTTTGTTATTCTATTGTGTAATAGGAAGCGGAAACCCTTCCGATTTCGGTTTCTTATGGCTCTTTTTTTCTAAATTATTGACGATGAGTTTGTTCATTTTGATGAATGAGTTACAACATCACATTTCTTGATAAACATTGTTTTCTTATTGGATTCTCTTTCGTCAATGTTAATTTTTTTTCTTTACTAAGTTTTTTCTTTTGTTTTTTTCCCATAATATTTAAATATATTCTTTTTAAAATAAAAAAATATTTTATAAACATTAACAATTAAAAATAAATTTAAAATAATTATGTATAGCCATTCTAACGAGTCCTAGATTAAGAAGCGCGACCGATGTTACGAGTCCTGATTGAACTCCCAAATGGCCAATTATAGCCGGTATCAGACTACGCATTGGAGATTGAGATTAAGATTGAATTAAGATTGAGATTGAAGATTGTCCAATCACATTAAAGCCCGTATCAGACTAAAGATTGAGAATGAGATTGAATTGGGATTTAACCAATTAGA